GAAGCAGAGAGACACATTGTCGGACTCGATAAAATCTCACCTGATACTTTCCTCAAGAAGTTTGATCGTCCTCGATCAGTGAGATGAAGGTAGACCTGTTATCAAATGCTATTGCATTTTCAAAACCAAAACAATAAGTCTCAATTCGATGGTTAAAATTAGAATAAGGTTCAAAATGTAGAACAATAAAACAGTGAAAATTCGCTAATTGGGAGTAAATAATAACATGAATTTATATAATGAAGTGATGTTGATTAAAAATAAGATAACATTCATCCAATAAATTTAATTAGTCAATAAGACGAGTTAATCTAATTGATGTCTAATACCGACATTGTTATATTATAAAAAACTTTTAAGAGGCTGATTGCCAGAACTCAGAAGGCAGCAAAGGATGTCGACAACCTTTTCTGTCCGTTGACCTCCTGATTCCGGGGTTAGGTTTCAGAAAGCACAGTTCTGTTCCAAACTCTATCGTCCGGATTCCGGTTCGAGCTGCGGTCGACGATGGGGGGCGTTCATACGGTAAACACCTTACGACTGTGCTCTGTGATTACTGAATTACCTTTGAGATAAAACTTACATTTTCTTCCGTAATTAACTTAAATACCTCAACATCCATTAACTTCATATCGAATTTGCTTTTCTATATACTACCACTACGTCTACGGGTATATAAGTCAAGTGTCTGATTTCATTTTCACGAACCCGGCTGGCTTTCTCGCCCCTCCCCCCTCCTCTTCTCTTCATGAGAAGAGGCAGTAGGCCAGTAGGTAGGAGCAGGCCTGCGAGCCAGCTACAATAAACTATTTTTTTATATTCTATTATTGGTTTGTTATCATTCAATTTGATTATTATACATTTGTTTGTTGTACTTGTATTGTATTTTACATTAACTGATCCATTTTTCAATGCTATGATATTATGTAAAATTTAGTTTCTCTGTCATAAACCCCCTGTCATTTTGACTATATTTCTGTGTAAGCATTTCTAAAATCCCTGTGTAAAGCATATTTATTATTTATTTATTTAAGCATTATTCTCTTGAAATTGTACTAAAATACTAGCACCATGTCAGAATTAAGCTCTGATGTGCCAGAAGATGAAGAGGACATAGTGCCAGCAACACCAACTCAAGACACACCAGCTACCAATGTGCAAGTGACAGTGACAGGGCAACCTGGAATTATGCTACCAAAAGATTTGGAAAGCCTCGCACAACTACCTAATGTGCTTGATGCTGATGATGACCTTTTTGCTGGAACTGGCACAAACAAGGCATCACAAGGAAGCTCCAGAAACCGGAAGCGGCAAAAAAGTACTGAATCTGAAGAAGAACTATATGACTTAACAAATTCAACCAGTGTCATCCCAAAACTTACCAGACCATCAGAAAATCTCAAGAAGCTCAAGAAAATTGGATTTGTTCTCAGGGCTAATTATTCAGCGTCTCACTTTAAATTTACGATTACGCTGTATTCTCCACAAAAACAGCCTCTCATAATTAACCAAATATCAAGTATATTTTATTCTATTTTATTACAAATGAGGGAAAATTGGGACATCTTAAATCCGTTTTCTTTGATAACCATACTCATATTAATGGTTAGCTTTGATATTGGGAAACATCAAATAGCACTAATGTTTCCCCCATCGTTCAATTAAATTCCGTGAGAAGTGTCTCTAAATTGCCAAGCCCGACAACAGCGCTGCATAAGTTTGGTGGACTCTATATTCCACCGCATTCCTTCTTTATCATTTGTTTCGACAAATTACTTCCATAAATATCTACATAAGAAATCGGAATATCCCAATAGCCCTATTATATAACAGTATTGAATAAAATGGTAGCATATGCTTTAGATTTTTCATACGGGTTTAATTTTTAACACGAGGAGCTTCTGGCCAACCAGCGAGTAATTAATTCATTGAGAAGTGTATCGGAATTTCAAGCCAGCAAACAGCGCTGCATAAGTTGAGTGGAGTGTATACTGCACCGCATACCCTCTTTATCATAACTTCCATAAATATCTACATTATAAGTCGTAATATTCCTATTTAAATAAATTGGAATATCCCGATAACCCTATTATTTAATAGTAATAATTAAATAAAATGATAGCAAACGTTTCAGATCTTCTCATACGGGTTTAGATAAAACGAGTTGATAAATCAGAGCTCCTGGCCGACCGTCTAGGGTGACAGGGTCTACCAGGCAGTTCAGTGTGTGCTAGCATCAACAGCAGGCTTAGTGTGCACGGTGCCGTGCATTTATTGTTTCAATTCCCAGTTTAAGCCAATGTGACGTGTTTTTTGTATACCTTACCTAACCTTATTTATACCAACAAAATTTATTTTGGGTTGGTATTTATTGTGATTGTACAATCGGGTGCGCAGCCGCAGACCAGCAAATTAACGATCAAATCAGCCCTGGAGCCAACGTCAACCGTCAAAATGCTATACATATTGTCATCCTGGCACCTAAGCAGCTGTAGTCAATTGACCTATCTCACCACACGAACTTTAAGCAAACACTGCTTCAGCACACAAGCTGCTACCCCTCATAGTTAACGGTCAATACGTTGTTCTCCAATGCTTTATCACGCAAATCATCACTTATTACACATGCTGTTACCCTAAGTGTCCGCTGACCACACTGCATTGCCGCAAATGTGAACTGTACCAAACGGTAATGCGTCATCATCTTACTTGCTCCGCAAGTTGTTAACCCCGCGTCACTGTTTCCCTACCTTACTATCCCCCAGCATCTTCTTCCCCCCACACTTACCCCGACTCTCCACCATTATCGCATGGCTAACTGGAGGCTTTTCTCGCAGACCTTTGATGCTTATCCGACTTAGGTTAGGTCAGGTTAGATTACAAGTCGTATAGATCCTCTTTTCATAGCGTAATGCAGTCAAGTGAGCAGAAACTAAGAAAAGCCGTCCAGCAGTCGATGAAAGAAAGGCGGGGAGACGGGGTAAGCGTGGAGGTAGAGTTATGCCGGGGGAAATCAGCTGCGACGAACGGTCGGGCTGGAGTGCTGGCTATGTATCAACAGCGGTATGGCGAAGCCTCGAAGGGAGTTGCTTACCGATAGTCGTGAGGAGGTTTGACGGCATGGGAGAGAGCTGTTAGGCGGTTTTCAATACGGCGTAGAGCGATTGTATTGGTGGCTTACTTCTCATTAGCTTGCTGGTTAATTTCCATGAAGGGGATTTGTACCTTTGGCTTTTAACATATAATCTGTTAGTCTACTCTGCCCTTTAGCAGGCTTACGCACGGAAAGGAGGATGAAAGATATGCTGGTCTTGGGCAATGCTGGCCTCTGGCATGCATCCCGTCCTGAACCCGGCAGTGAACAGTTCTAGGCGGAGCGTCCTTTCAGGAAGGCGTTACACATGTCTATAATACATTTACATACTAAATATAAAATACTATTAAGTAATATTATCATGTAAATAGTAGGTAGGGTGAACGCGGTATATTCCAATATCGTGGGTAATTCCATCACCTCTCTAGCTTTTCCTTGATATTAAGCTTTGTTTTAGTTCCATGCATTTGTTGATGGTTAAAATGGTGACGTCATACATTTGCGCGTCAAACTATTGCCAGAACACTAGGTCTTGGCCATCTAGTGGGAAAATATTGAGATCCAAAGAGAGACAATGCATGCCACCTGGTGAGATCATCGAAAAATGTGTCAAATTTGACAGTTGACCATGCTCTACCAAATAGTGAATACACTGAATAGGCCTAACTGTTTTTATAGGAAGAACATTATGGTTTGAGACTTTTAAATACGTCTGTGAATATATTAGGAATCCTTCAAGTATACTTGTATAAATAAATTCATGGTGCCATTCTAGATGCATTCTTAATTACCATCTACCTATGGAATTTTGTAGCGCACCCACGTCCACCTTAGAGCGCACTCAGCGTTGCACTGCAGTTGAGACTTGAGGGCTCAGCTACCGGCTTGCACAGCTTGAACAGCTGAGATTTCTAATTACATTTCTATTGTGACGAGCCAATTCACAACAAAATCAATGTAAATTATACACCTGTTTAACAACAGCCTATAAATTTTAATAATACATTTATAGAATAAAGCCTAAATATAAACTATTCCATGTAGAAAACGATTGAAAAATTCATTTTAACAACGGAAATACATTATTTTGAAGTTACGCTCTTTCCATTGCTAACGAGTAATGGAGACAGGAGCATCATCTTTACCATCCTTGAATAACAGAGAAAACACGTAGTCACTCACTTCACTTGACATTTTGTAGCCATAGCTTCACACTTCACTTTAAGGCAAGGTTCAAGATCTAAATTGAAAAATTAGCAACTGAAGTGTCGAATCGGTGTTAAATGAACAAATACAATTTAATATATCTAAAAGTTACTCTGTTTAACATTAATCATTTATCTTTTGATTTCAATTCAAATAGTATTTAACGATTACTAAAAAACTGTGGTTAAATGCAATCCTGCTGTTTAGTTAGTAAAACCTTTTTTATGTCATGGCTTTCCTATACTCTGAAATTAATTGGCAAAATGAAATTGCGTATCATAATAAATGGATGTAAGGTTAAATTTCCAAGTTGATATGAAAACTACACATAAATATCATACTGGGCATGACTTTATTCAATACTTTGGTGTTTATTTAATGAAATGATAGATTTTTCTTGGACAATGGTGAGCGTTCCAAATGATTTCACTGAGAATTTTATGAAAAAGACACGAAGCATGTGGCAACAGCAGCGGATCAATATCAACTACATCCTAACTTCCATAATATACCATGATATACTAATTAAATCCAAATCAATAGTTTGTTCACTTTAATTATTCAATATTATTACGAAATATTTTTTTCTGCCTAAATTTCTTTCGAATGGATGAATAAATGTTATTTGAAACAGAACTAGTTTTTGATATGCATGCGTAACAAAGAGCAGCGGCTCCGTGGTATATAAACTCACTGCCTCCTCCTACTGCACCCACTTTATTTAAGAGCAGGGTCTTGTGTGGTAGTGACATTCTCTTCGTGTCACGTTCCACTATTTCTTATAAAACTTAAAAAGTGATTAAAAAAATCGACATAAAATTTAAAAAACTACAAAAAAATTAGTTGTATCTTCTATATTTGTTTTTTGAGGTGAGTTTTTGTACGTTTAGATTGTTTTGTGCATAGTAGCTACTGCGCCATTGACGATCGAGGTGGAGACGTTCAGCCACGCAGGTTCGTATCGCTTGTGAAAGCTGTTCCAACGGAATTCGTAGTCATGATACGACCTCAATGTTAAAAGTATGATCTGATTTTGCTATTCTTCTTACTTATTTACTGAGGTTATACGAACATCGTTGTTGATAATTAGTTAATAATGTAATTTTGAAATTGAAGGTGAGAATACGGATTTTTTAGAAAGTTGAAGTAAAATCTAAGCCTTGAACTCTAATCTTGTTCCGATGGCTGACGTCGACGAGGTTGTTGCACACTCGAAGCGTCGAATGTACTGTCAGACAGTTACTGTCTTGGTGTTATAGTACCTACCTAAATGAACTGGTAGTCTGGTACTTTACCCGAGTGGCCGAGTTTACTAGTATAACATGTGCAGTGTGCTATAACCAAATCCTTGCTAATGTTAGAAATGTGTTTAGGCTAATTTCTTTAATTTTTGAATTGTAAAATGTACCTAAATGAAGAGAAAATCTTGTCACAGGTGAAAAATATGATAGATTATCAAATGGCAAAAATATCTAAGTGGCTCAGAGCCATCTTTTTTTTTTTTTGGTTAAGTAAGTCTTCACAATTTGTATTTAAGATGATCTAGGCACTCTGCACAAATAGGGCCTAGGAACCTTAACTTAGGACTTAGCTTACGCCGCTAGTCTGGAAAAGTCCTATTTTTGTCTGGAATATCGCGGCTCTAATATCATATAATTTCAGTAGGTATGAAATCTCGCGGCTCGAATGTCATAAATTTTTGTTTGATTAAAAAAGCTAGGCTAGCTACCTAGCCTACCTACATCAAATAGGGCCTAACTGGAAGCCTACATACCTTCCTAAACTTAACATTTTCCTAGGCTAAATGTTAAATTTGACCTTTGAAATGAATTTGATTGTATAGGAATAACCATTTAATGATTTGATCCAATTCCATGAAATGGCTCCACTCATCCAGAATTATTTGATAGAATTAGGTAACATAGAAAAAAATTGAAATTGTGAAAGATTTCTTCAGACTTCTTTGGTAAACCAGATCTTTCAGATTTCATTGGTAAACCGTAAATGCACCATATTCCAACATCTTGGGTAATTCTGATACTTCTCAAATTTTCCTTATTAAGCTTTGTCTTAGTTCCAAGCATTTGTAGGCTAGATGGTTGAAATAGTGATGTCATACTATTATGTGCCAGATTTTGCAAAACACTAGGTTTGGCAGGAAAATGACAAGATCCTCAGAGCGAAAGTCCACGTCACCCAGTGAGAACATCAAAAAAACGTGTCAAAGTTGATAGTTGACCTTGCTCTAGGCCTACCAAATAGTGATGAACTGTTTGTGTAGAAAGAATATTATGGTTTGAGACTTTGAAATAAGTCAGTGAATATATTAGGAATCCTTTGTATAGGGTAAACGTGGTATATTCCGACACATTAAGGACGCATCGGCCATCGAGAAATGAAAGACTATAAAAAATAACCGTATGCTTTACTCGATTTCTGTTTGCTTTACCCGACTCTCAAAACACCATACTACGTGCCAGCAACAATGAAACGTCACAAAATGTTGCCATATTTATTTAAAAGCCTTTAGAATGCAAACCTACCAAATCCCTATATTCCGTCTCCGACACTGTGTGTGACTATATTTGACACGTGGTGAGACGTATTCCGACCGCGCTTCAAATTGTACTAATATGTACGTAATTCCGACATCCACGTGTTCGAATTCCGATTGCTGTGCAAGCTGTATTGGAATATGATACGGCTTTGAATTAGAACACAATTTAATATTGAGCACTACTTAATTAGGCTTTTAATTAAGTTATTAGGCTTTTAATTAAGAAAATTTTAATTTTTGCACACAGCTTGGAATGAGCTGTGTGTGTCCAATTCAAGTTGTGTTGGAAATAGTTTTTATGTGTCTAAATGCGTCTATCAAATTAATCATCTATTAATTTATTTACCACTTGCAATCAGCAAATACAAGTATACTTATAGGATTCCTAATATATTCACAGACATATTTAAAAAGTCTCGAACCATAATATTCTTTCTACACAAAGTTTATCACTATTTGGTAGAGCAAGGCCAACTGTTGACTGACACATTTTTCGATGATCTCATTGGGTGACCTGCACCATCTCTCTTTGGATCTCAACATTTTCCCGCTAGAATCTAGATGGCCCAGACCTAGTGTTTTGGCAGTAGTTTGACATGCAAATGTATGACGTCACTATTTCAACCATCAACGAATGCATGGAACTAAAACAAAGCTTAATATAAAAGAAAAACTAGAGAGGTGTCGGAATTACCCGCGATGTCGGAATATACCGCGTTTACCCTACTTGTATTTGCTGATTTTAAGTGGTAAATAAATTGATAGATGATTAAGTTGAGAGACGGTTTGAGACACATAAAAACTAATTCCGATACAGCTCGTTCCCAGCTGTTGTATTCTGATACAGCTCACACTGATACAGCTCACACAGGGCGTCAGAATTACAAATTGCTTTTTTGAAGCGTTGTTGGAATTAGTCTCACAATATGCCAAATTTAGTCACACACAGCATCGGAATTCAGTAATTTTGTTGATTTGAATTCTAAAGGCTTTAGAATAAATATGGCAACAGTTTGTGATGTTTCATCATTGCTGGCGCCGGGTGCGTGGTGTGGTGTTTTGAGAGTGACGTAAAGCAATCAGAACTTGGAATTGCGCATTTGGTAATCTTTTTATAGCCATTCATTTCTTGCTACATCCTTGAAGTGTCAGAATATGGTGCATTTACCCTAGTTACTGCCATCACTGCTGTGGCACATTTAAAAATTATGGCCTGATGGTGCACTTGTTAACAATTAGATAGGTAATTCATCTAGTAGACCAATTTAGAATATTCAAAATTTCCCTGAAATAGTGGGTAAAAACTAGACTTTTTAGTGGATTTATAATAATCATGGGTGAAAATAGGCCAGTTTCTTATTTCCCTATGACCTTGGGAAAGTGATAGTTTCAAAGCAGGGACTTTTTTGGACTCTTCCTTTCATATAATTTTGAGTCCTTTGAGTAGACCTGTTAAGTGTCATGGATAACAGTAACAGCATTTATCTACATAAGAAATTGGTTTAAATCTTGAATAGATGAGGAATTTAAAAATATGCATTTTAAAATTGCTTTTTAAAGACAACACTTCCAAAGAATCCAGTATCTCCAATCTTAGAGATGTACAATGAATTTCTCATCTAATTACACTTCCAAAGAGTCCAGTATCTCCAATCTTAGAGATGTACAATGAATTTTTCATCTAATTTCCAAAAATTAAAAAAATTAACTTTTCAATTATTGCAACCGCAATATAAGTTTTTTAATTAATAATATTTTTTTAAAAATTACTTTTTAAAGACAACACTTCCAAAGAATCCAGTATCTCCAATCTTAGAGATGTACAATGAATTTCTCATCTAATTTCCAAAAATTAAAAGAATTAACTTTTCAATTATTTTAATATATATATAATTTTTTTAATATATAATTTTTTTTTCAAAATTATTTATTCTGTTAATTAATTCATGCATTGCCTCTGACTTCACACAAGTGTGCAAAATTTCAGATCAATTAAACAGGTAAAAATGTGCCAAATATCAGTTATAAGATTTGGAGCTGACAAAATTATTTTTTCAATTTTTTTAATTTGAAATTTTTTTTTGTAATTTTTAAAATTTATTTTGACATTTGATTCATGCATTGTCTCTAACTTTACACGAGTGTGCAAAATTTCAGATCGATAGGATAAGTAGAAATGTATTAAATTTTGATTACAAGATTTGTAGCAGACAGACAGACAAACAGACACAGACAAACAGACAAGAAGTGAAGTTGAAGAGAAGTGTTGTAAAATGAACTAATGCTCCCATTTCTGTGCTTTGTCGCCATAGGAAAGAGAAATAGAAATGGGTGTTATTGATCACATCCATTGGCTTTTGTTTAGAATTCATTGGTGGTTTTGGCCCATTTTTGCTGTTGATCTAATAGGAATCTATTGGCTGCAAAAATGGCAAGAAAGCGCTGGTTGTAGCTTGAAAGGTGGTATATTCTAAGCTGGAATTAGAACTGGTGAAATGAACAACCATATGTGTAGGCATTTCTATCTCATTCACGGTCATTGTCTCTTTATCAGATTGTTGACCATAGGGCACAAGTTTTGTTTTGAATTATACATCCATTTTTAAATAATATAAAACATGGGCAGTTGAAAATTGATATGAATGGTGTTGCAGATAATTTAGGACGATTATCTAGAAAATACTCACTTGGCTTACTATGGAAAATTCTTGTCATTTGGCTCATTCTAATAAATCAGGTAGGAGCCACCTGTGAACAAGACAAAAATGCTAGTGTTTGTAGTAAATTTTACCCATTTTTATGGGCCTTGCCTAATTTCTTTCATATAAAACAGAAATGATGCTTTTGCACAAGCTTCTGGAAATTTTGCTCCCAAAATTGGTTGTTTTACAAAATATTTCTGGAAAATTCTTTTTGATATTCAGATTGGTATTAGGTTCTGAGAAATGAAATTCAGTATGTGATAAGTTCTTAACTCATCACAAATTTAATTCGTCTTCTGCCCATGAAAATTTTCACTCGTATATACTAATTTTATTTATTTTCATAAATGATTTTTGAAAATTGAACTGAGATCAGTTTGTGTGAAAAATCAACCATCCCTTTATATTGCGTCTTTAAGGTTAGACAAGCAAGTCTTTTCACAAGTTAAAGACTAGGATTATAGTTGCTGCACGCTTTGATTTTTTGATACCCTTTTACAACACTTCTCTTTAACTTCACTTCTTGTCCGTTTGTCTGTCTGCTACAAATCTTGTAATCAAAATTTAATACACTTCTACTTATCCTATCGATCTGAAATTTTGCACACTTGTGTAAAGTTGGAGACTGCATGAATAAAATGTCAAAATAAATAATTAAAAAAAATTTTTTTAAATATTAAAAAATTGAAAAAATAACTTTGTCAGCTACAAATCTTATAACTGATATATGACACAATTTTACCTGTCAAATTGATCTGAAATTTGGCACACTTGTGTGAAATCAGAGGCAATGCATGAATCAATTGACAGAAAAAATAATTTAGAAAAAAATTTATATATTAAAAAAATTAAATTTTTTTAATTTTCGAAAATTAGATGAGAAATTCATTGTACATCTGTAAGATTGGAGATACTGGATTCTTTGGAAGTGTTGTCTTTAAAAAGTAATTTTTAAACGTATATTATTCCAGTCATTTTCATTTGAATTTCTTGTATAATTTCGACTTCTTGGCAATGTTGATTTTTCACTGTATAGACATTTTTCTTTGATCTGAGTATAAGCGGTTTTGACTCCTATGTTTGGGTATTATTCAATTTGTTTGGGTAAGCTGCTAACTCTTTGTATCTGTAACAAATCAATCGGATATTGACAAGGAACTTATCCCAGTGGGTCTTGTATTAGGAAACCTATGTTCCACATTAAAATATCGGAAAAGTCTGATCCATATCTGGCCTTACCAAGTCACCTTTTATGAATATATATAGTACTTGTAATAGGGTGAGAAGGATCATTTTTATTTTAACACATTGACTACATATTGGTATATATGCGTACCACGAAATTATTTCTCCAGGAGGTAGTGGTACATAATTCAGGTTACCTAAAATCGGCCAAATCCGAGAACAGAAAAGCCCAAAAAGGCTGATAATTCAATGTATACTAGTTTATTTGTAGGTGCCGCTATAAAAATTCCATTTACTTTCTTTTTGCAGTATTTATAATTTAATTAGGAAGCACCCCTATCATGAATTTTAGCCGGCCAACGCAATTAAGAAAAAATAAATCACGGAATTTGTCTGAAAAAAATGACCGTCTGGCAACCCTGCTTAAAAAAAATACAAAAAATGAAATAATAGTACAAGATGAAGCAATCGTAGTCAACGTGTTAATGTGCCTACTAAAGCATCATTCGAGCCCATGATATTGGAGCAAAGTCAACAATACACAGCCCAGCTGCATCCTTGACGTCCAATTCATCACATATTGACCCGTTTTTTTCAAATCCTCGGCTTTTTTGCAGTGCTTTGGATCGTGCATCAGAGCACATTTTTGTCGATCTGTTTGTTGGTGAGGCAAATGTTAATAATGTGGGGTCCCACTGATACAGAACATGCTCATAAAGTTGCGGGTTTGTATGGTTGTTTTGAATGTATGGTTTCAGGCTTGTATGGTTGATCCATATATGGTGTTTTGTAAACTTAACATGTTCTCTTTTTATAACTTCAATTTTACTCGAAAAATTATGTCTAATCTAAATGCATAGAGTATGTGAAAGACCAAGAGAAAATAAGTGGGTTTTTGTTAAAACCAATGTAATTTTCTGATGTTCCATTTTGAGAAAGCTACCTATAGCATGGAAATCAAATAAACTTGGCAGTTGTAAATTTTGTTGAACATTTACACCATAGCTGCAACACAAAAGAATTCAACCTGTTAATAAAATTTTGAAGTTCAGTATCTGCGTTTGGAATGATTTTTACAATTTTTTTCACAAGTTAATGTAATCGAAATACAAGCTCTAGAAGTAAAAGACAACACTGTAGGTCTCCTTTGACTGCAGGTGTGGGTTCTAACCATTAACCTATCTTACTGTAAAGTTACACTCCCTGATTTTAGAAGCTTAACCCAGAATTTTTGTTTCAGTGTGGAAGCAGTGAAGCAGCAACATGAACGCCACCCAGACAGGAAACAATAGCTACCCACTAGCCTCTCTCTATGTTGGGGACCTCCATGAGGACTGCACGGAGGCCATGCTGTTCGAGAAGGTGATTCATATATTGAGATCAATTCATTTGTTGAAACAAATGGTTTGATGGAATTGATGAGAATAAAATTCAGGAAACGAAGATTATTTAAACATATCCGCACTAGAAAGTAGTTTGTTCTTGGTTTCATTTTTTTAATGTAAGCTGGTCGATTCAGATTTTGCCTAATTCTTATTTAAATGCTGTGATGCTATTTTGACCTCAGAAATAATGTTTTTACTTGAAGCCTTGTGTTATAATTTCTCCAAGTTATTGCTTCTAATGGACAGTTTATTGAGTTCTGATAATTTCCTGAAACGCTGGTTCATGGTATTGTCTGACCAGTTAAGTTGATTCTCCTACATCATTTTGGCTACATAAATATGCATCAATATGTGATAGTTTCGAGAATGATTTGAGCGATCACTGCATTCGATTTGTGCAGTTCTCGACTGCAGGCCCTGTTCTCTCCATCCGCGTTTGCCGCGATATGATCACCCGTCGGTCACTTGGGTACGCTTACGTCAATTTCCAGCAGCCCTTCGATGCTGAGAGAGCGCTTGACACCATGAACTTTGACGTTATGAAGGGCAAGCCAATCCGCATCATGTGGTCGCAGCGTGATCCGTCCCTCCGTAAGTCTGGCGTGGGCAACGTCTTCATTAAGAACCTGGACAAGTCTATTGACAACAAGGCCATGTACGACACCTTCTCTGCTTTTGGCAACATTCTCAGTTGCAAAGTGGCCAATGATGAGAGTGGGAATTCCAAAGGATATGGTTTTGTCCATTTCGAGACGGAGGAGGCTGCCAGGAGCGCCATTTCCAAAGTCAACGGGATGTTGCTGAACAGCAAGAAAGTGTACGTGGGAAAGTTCATTCCGCGTGCTGAACGGGAAAAGGAACTTGGTGAGAAAGCCAAAATGTTCACCAATGTGTACGTCAAGAACTTTGGTGATGAATTTGATGATGACAAACTTTATGAAACTTTTGCTCGCTTTGGCAAGATCACCAGCCACAAGGTCATCGTGGGAGATGACAACAAGTCCAAGGGCTTTGGTTTCGTGGCTTTCGAAGACCCTGAAGTTGCTGAGGTTGCTGTTCGTGAGATGAACAACTTTGAAATCAACAACAAAGTCTTGTACGTCGGTCGCGCTCAGAAGAAAGGCGAACGACAAGCCGAGCTCAAGAAGAAGTTCGACCAGATGAAGATGGATAGAATCAATCGCACGCACGGCGTTAACTTGTACATCAAGAATCTTGATGATTGCATCGATGACGATCGCCTGCGCAAGGAATTTGCTCCCTACGGTACCATCACTAGCGCTAAGGTCATGATGGAAGACGGTCGCTCCAAGGGCTTCGGATTTGTCTGCTTTAGCCTCCCTGATGAGGCTACTCGCGCCGTAACGGAAATGAACGGCCGCATTTTGGTGGCCAAACCTCTGTACGTTGCCCTTGCTCAGCGCCGTGAAGATCGCAAGGCTCAGCTCGCTTCTCAGTACATGCAACGCGTTGCTGGAATGCGCCTGCAGCACGTGAATCAAGTTTATCCCGCTGCTCCCTCCAACTATTTCATGCAAACTGCTCTCCAGCCCGCTGGCTATCGCTTCAACAACCTCATGCCTAATATTCGCCCTGCTGCTCCTCGCTGGCAGCAACCAGCTACTCAGGTGCGTCCTGGACAAGCGCAATTCTCGGTACCCACTGCAGCGGGCTATCGCGCAGCTACTGCTGGACCTCGGCCTGCTCAGCACGCTACTCGCGGAGTCTCGCCTGGTGTGCCCCGTAGCGCCATCCCTCAGCAGCAAGTGGCCATGGGACTCGTGCAGGCTGCTGGAGCTCCTCGCGTGGTGGCTCCTAATGCTGGTGCTGTCCCTCAGATGACAGCTAACTTGCAGCGTCCTGGTGTCCATCCCGCAGCCGCTGCAGCTGCTGCTGCCGCTTCTGTGGTCAACGCGAACACCTACAAGTACACCCCTAACATGCGTAACCCACCCACTGTCAACCAGCAGGGCATGAACATGTCCAATGCTGGTAATGCTGCCACAGGTGGCCAGCCTGCCGTGCATGTGCAAGGGCAAGAACCTCTCACGCTTAACATGCTTGCCACTGCTGTACCTCAGGAACAAAAGCAGATGCTCGGTGAGCGTCTGTATCCTCTTGTGCAAGATTTCCATCCTGGCCTCTGTGGAAAGATCACTGGCATGCTTCTCGAGATGGACAATAGTGACCTGCTGCACATGCTTGAAGATCGCGCTTCTCTCAAGAACAAGATGGACGAGGCTCTGGCTGTGCTTCAGGCCCATCAAGCCAAACAGCAAGTCGCTGCGAGCATCAAGAAAGAAGAGCAACCTCAGATGTAAGGGCGTAACTAAGTTCTGTTTTATCTGGGCTGCTTTTAGTGCATTTTCTTTGATATGGATTTTAAAGTATTTTTTAGCTGTTCAAGGAATTTCTTTTAATGCACTCCAATCTATAAAAATGAAAATCCTAAAAAAATCGTAAAACCTCTTGAAAAAATCCAAATATGTTAGGAAGTCGACGTAACTTAGTGCTCTAATGAATAGAAATGTAGTAGTGTACGATGTTTAACTTGCATTGCATTGCTGTTATTCATGTACTTTCATTAAAAACTGGAAAATCATTTCATAAAAACGGAAAACAAGTAAGATATGCCGGACTAACTAAATTCAAAATATTACTACCTTCCTTTTTGGTTTCATACATCGGTAATTAAAAGCTGCGTTTTATTTATCTGTAACCTTCAATTATGCCACTGATATTCAATCCATGACTTGATCGTTGTTGGAACATAATTTTCTAGTCAGGTCTGGAAAAATGTTCAGAGACGATTTGTATGTTCACGCTCTGGAGTCTCGATAGTTCGGGATTTCATCATCCGAGCACTAGTTTCATTGCTTGAATATCGCTGGGAAGCTACATTGAGCCTCCGGCTGAATCAATAGTTCATACCACTCGCTGAAATTTTTTTATTGGATTTCTTAATTGCCCATAAATTGATGTCAATTAAGTTCTTTTTCCCATATTATTGGCCTATTGGTACTTTTTGAGAAACTCCCGTTGAAGTCATTCCAGCGCCAGCTACCAGAGTTGTGCAATTGACTTGTCACTGACTTCGGGTACACAACAGTATGGAGGGAGAGTCGCTTCTCAACTAACAGCGATTCACTTTATCAGGGCGGCTAATGATTCACTAGTCGCTCGTGACAGATTTTTGAAGAGTCAGTGAGGCATAGATCGGATTTGTGTTGAATATAGTGAAATTTGATTTTGTATTTGTACTGGAAGTAACAAATAGCTGCTTCATAACTCGTGCGATGAAGCACAGCCTCTTTGAATCTTCCAGAAACTGGTACACTAAATGCTCATTCGTATGAACTGCGAACTATTAGCAAATAAATGGTTAGGCCATGATAGCTCGGTGAAGAATGCGGCAGGTGTAGCCATTGTAAGCTTATGTGTACGCTGGACAACAATCATGAAACACCAATTTCGTGCGCCTGTTCATTTATCGTGACATTTGTTGATGGTCGAATTATAAAATAAGCCAGCACTGAAATGCTGCGCACATCACTGCACAGTGATGAGCATCTTGTCCTTTACTGAAAAGAGGAATGATAGAACCGACTGATAACTAACTAGGATATGCTGCGATAGGAATCTTCCATTTTGCCTCTCCAGAAGACATTATTGCGCGAAAAGTTACTGAAATAGTTCCTGCTAAGGTCAACATTCCTGTTCCGACAAAATTATTCCTCGCTCGCCAGTCTTCAGGTCCGTCCGCTGGCATGATTCTAGAACTTAAACCTACGTCCTTTGCCCGTATCATCTTAAGTTACAATTGAATTTTCTTAATGGATTAAAGAAAAGTACGAACCAATTAACTGAAGCAAGTATTGACATGCTCTGCAAAAAGGCCACAAGCACTGTCATATTGCGCAAGCGTAAGCATTTCATTTACTTGGAAAAACATACTGTTCAACATAACCCTAAAGATCCTCACTTCATCAATTCTTCCATTCACCTATGGTGTTAATTGCAAGTTGTAAACCTAATTACCGCTAGTGATAATTACCAAGGTTTCTCAATTCAAAATTTTTCCTTTCCAAGTTTCGGTGACAACACTAACTTCCAAACTTTAGGTTCGGGCGCGCGACCAGCGGCAAACAACAGCTTCATCGTAGGTGCGTCTGATCAGTCTTCAGTTAAAAGGCTATATTAACTTAAAAGCTTCAATATGGTTAGAAAATTTCAACTACTTGTCAACACAAACTTTTAAATATTTGTCCATTGCACACTTCGCTATCACCACTCTCGTACATTATACTGCTCATTGAAGTATATTACAAGCAAATCGTAGCAACGATTGTGATATAAATGTAGCATTTCTTTTTCAAGTCGGTAATAAAGTGGCCATTTCTTTCGGATGCAACTGTCCCGCGCACGACCAAAAATCTGAATAAGGGAAAGTTCAACTGAGAAATTTGAGTGTAGATAATAATTTAATAATGACCAATATGCTATTGTTCTTAAGATTACAATGAATTATATAATTATAAGTATTCTTCATGGTAAGATGGCGCAACAGTACAGTATTTTAACCATGCTCATGGTAATTAAGCTTCAGAAGCTGGAGAAATAAAACTTATCTAAGGATGAAACAAGTCTGAACTATAAACGCCTGAGACTAGGTATTAGAGAGCAAAGCACTATGGTAAAATGACGCATAAAAATCGAAACCTCGTACAAATGGTATTGTGTTAGGGTACGCACACAGTGAAAGCAGGTTGCCAGCGTGCTGGTTACCTGCTCAGGCTGGCGCATGAAACCGTAGAATACAGAAGCCTATTCGTACAGGTTTTCACTGTGAACACTTACATTATTATCCTATGTTCATTCTTGTGGCAGGTTGGAGCAGGTTGCCCGCGCAGGAAAACCTGCTTTCACTGTGTGCGTACCCTTACGTTCGAAATTAGGACTTAGCTGAAAGCTCCTGCTGGTAGCCAAGCATTCAGAAAATACGGGTATCTTGACATCATAGCATTTGAATAAATAAGTTGGCATCGAGTTGGTATATACAAGAAAAGTTAAGGTGCATACATTGAGAATCAAAAACGTAAAAATTGCCTAAATCTGATATCAGGTTTGGGACTAAGAATAGTTATAAAGTATAGGGTACCGTTATCATCACTCGAGTCGCTTCAATAAAATATAAATTAAACTTATACAGAAGAAATGTTGACAAAAATGTGGCAACATTTCGGAAGCTTTAAAATGCTGTTCTTCAATTCTAGTATTACAAATTAATTGTCAATTTAACATTAATTGCTATTATTGGAATGCGGCGATATAAGTGTCACGACAATGACGACTTCTTGCCAAAGATAGTAGTTGAAGAAACGCTGTAGTTTGCAGGTCGCAATAGCTACTGTACATACCGCACATTAGAAGACACTGCGCACCCGACTTAGAAACTTACACCAGTTGGTCATGGGAGATTCATCATTGGGAACGTAATACTGCAGGATTATTTTCTTGTCAATAAGTAGCAATAGGTCCTTAAATAGAGTAGCATGAAATTCATAATACCTGGAATTCGTAGCACAGAGAGAACATTGGTACGGTAAGCGTAGGAAAATTAATGAACAAAAATCACATTAAATGAAATCACAGGCGGTTACAGTTATAAGTCTACATAAATAAATAACCCTCGCATTGAGTTGTACAATAATGGAAAAGATGATTAATATGGCTATGATGGTCAACAGATTCTTGTTGAACATGAACGGAAATTAAAACTTAACGTCTTAGAAGCTCGGTAGCTGTGGAGCAGCTCCGAGTACCCGTCAGGACATCGCATTACAGTTCTGTGATTAGCAGGTACTTCGAGTTCGTGTTTTGATCTGTGAGTTAGTATTGTAAAAAACATGGACAACATTTAAAACCAACCAAAAGTAAAATATCGGTAGTATTTAGAACGTCATGAAAACATTGGTGTTGTCGTGTTTAAAACCAACCACAAGTAAAATATGGTACTAGTATTTAAAACGTCAGGTAAACATTGGTGTTGTGTAAAACCAGTTATGCATAAAATATACGTCTTTAAATGGAATGACAATTTATTTTTGAGCCATTCCGTATTGAATTTAAAAACGGCACAAGAAAAACCGCACGTAACTAAAATGCCAGTGTTGTCAATATGATTACACTGGTGAATATACTGCAGATTAAAATCCTATAAAATTAATTAAAAGTTGTACATTTTTTTGGAAAGCTGATTGCAAGATCTCACTTCCTGATGCTCATTTTGCTGCGGTCTACGGGACTGAGGCTCACTTCGCTGCGGTTGAAGGGAAAATAATTTTAGCGAGAGCGATCAAGGTGTCCAAGTTTCGGTAGGCGACCACGCCGCCCGAGTTGCAGTAGAGGCTGATGTCCGAGCCGCCGCTGCGCGCCTCCACGTACTTCAGTTGATGCTGAGACGCGTCAGGGGGAAGGTCACGCGCGAACTGCTCCAAGGATGTGAATGGTATAATGCCGCCACCCAGGGACAACAACACTGCGTGTGGAGCGCACGTGTCCCACATATATGTGCTCGCCTGAAAGGTTGAGTTAGTAAGTATTGCACGAGCCAAACTAGGTTCTGATTTCACGAAATACTTGCTGATCGACTCCCTTTGTTGCGGAATTTAAGAATTTTACAAAAATTTTCATTTCCTAAAAGAGAAATCTGCTCTCTTGCGTATGCATAAACATTTAAAGCTCTCGATTTCCTCATTAGGGATGCAATTCTGCGTCTGCAGAACATATCCTCATCAGCTCTACAACACTTATTTCAGCTCCCACTGGCTCCTAACGTATATGATCCAACAAAATTCTCCTTGTGACATGTCACTAAATGTTAAATTCGACTAAAAAAAGAGATAAAACACATATTTGTCATTAATCGCGCACGAACTAGAGGAAAGTCACAACAATCCCTCCTCAATGAAACTTGATTAATTCATATATACAAAAATACAATGCGGAAGCCTCTAGCACTATGCAGAAGCCTCTAGCAAACATTTTAGCAAACTTAGGACTGGACTTTGACGGGCTTCAATTTATCAACCACCATTACTATGCAGTGGCCCTTAGCATTACCTCGTAGCAACCATGCGCCCGCACTTTTATGTTAATTAATTATCACCGCATGAACCACCATTAATATACCTAGGCCTCTAGTCTTACCTTGAGCAAACAGGCTTGCACTTGCAAGTAGATTAATCATTTAAGCTAAACCACCATTAATATACTGAGGCCTCTGGTATTACCTTAGAGTAAACATAGGCTTGCACTTGCACGTAGATTAATCATTTAAGCTAAACCATCATTAATATACTGAGGCCTCTGGTATTACCTAGGAGCAAACATTGGCTTGCACTTGCACGTAGATTAATCATTTAAGCTAAATCACCATTAATATACTGAGGCCTCAAGTCTTACCTTGGAGCAAACAGGCTTGCACTTGCAAGTAGATTAATCATTAACGCCTAAACCAACATTAATATACTGAGGCCTCTGGTATTACCTTGGAGCAAACATAGGCTTGCACTTGCACGTAGATTAATCATTAACGCCTAAACCACCATTAATATACTGAGGCCTCTGGTATTACCTTGGAGCAAACATAGGCTTGCACTTGCGAGTTGATGACCACAAGGGCCTTATACCCAGCGCCCGCGGCAGGCAGCGTCTCTATGCCGGCGGCGGCGAGGCGCTCAATGACACCGTCGCTCTCGCTGCTCGAGACGCTCACGCACCGAAGCCGCGATGCCTGCAATAAATATTTTTTAAATCAAGCACAGTGCACATATAAGTAATCTCCAAGTGCGCAAGGAATCTTTTCATCTTATATGTAAAAACAGTTAAAGAAAATTCGCACGCATATTGACAACACAAATGTCAATATGGTTCACTGAATAATAACGTTACGCTGATGGAAATAGGGCTATGGATCCGCTGATTAAAATAATTCATGAATACAGTTACAGTGCGTATCGGCTTTCCCCTATACTACACAGAGTAGCGCACAATGGTGGCAAAATTCCTCCTCGAAAATTGCTCTTAGCAGTCTTTTCATTGACGTCCAACAGTGTAATATAAATTTTAAAATTTGACAATTTTGGACTCCATGCAAACCTTTCAAGAAAACCTATGCTACAAAACATCTTTAGCAAATATTACCTTCACATTGTTGAAAGATAGAACTGCCAGTAATTTTCAAAGTCAGTTTCAAGACTAAAGCCATTGTTTAGGGTTGCGTTTATGCGACGGGTGCGTGCAAAATCATACCATACCAGCCAATTACTGACGGAGTTTCAATTAAAACCGATCAATTACAGACGGGAAATCGACCGCCGCGTGTACTTTGGCTACTACGGGTACTCTGTACAATTAGTATTTTGACCGGCAAGTGCACTTGAGCGAGATCCTATAGAACTGCGCCCGACCACCAAGCCTGTCTCACGACACTGACGAGGGAGGTGGCGTTGCTGAGGCTGTTGTCACCGCCACACACGCCCCACACCACTGATGTCGCCGCACTCTCAGTCCTGCACACAAACAACTCCTTAATTGTACCATTTACTATAAGTTAACTAATTAAGAGATGTAAAATCACGAAAATCTGTGTCGATGAAAGTTTGCTTCTAACGCGGAGGTAATAAACGACCTATATTCCTGGAACGACCTATAGAGCATCATAACTAACCACTAACTTCACTGCACTGAAAGCTCATAATATCAATTTGTCTATTTAAACTCACCACATCTAACAAACGATTAAATTCTTTGGTAGGAAATCTTCTAAGCACAAAAATTGCAAAATTCCCCTGAAAAATGTTACTCTTCTACTTTACAGAAGGATTCACATCAATTGCAGATTTTTTTACTTTAATTCCCCACATCAAATTAACGTTTTGAATCTGAGAGAAAAGCTTGTAAAACGTGAAAAAGATTAGGTTTACCCATTTGCTGGTGCAGCGGCGAACGGTTGGTTGACCACACCAGCTATCGGTCTGCCATCAGTCGTGTTGAAGACACCGAGCAGGACGGTCACACATTGCAGTCCGCGTCGTGTGACTCCATTTGTTAACTCATTGCCTTTGATGTATTCTGCCGTCGAATCTGGTTGAAAATGAACAGGCGCAGACTTGTATTAATACTCTTGTAAAATGAATGGCTGCAAAAATGAGACCTAGATACATCTTTAGCTAAATACCCAAAGCTTGAATAAAAATTATACATTCTTTTTAGTGTCTTGAAGTTCAGCTAATCATGGATCAATCATAACACGGAGCCATACGTTGACGTGACAGTTCCCAACACATGGGCAGATGACGGACAGACGAGATGATCGAGATCCATACTGCAACTATCCATTTTTATTCCATCTCAGAGATAGGTATTTATCCTAATTTTTATTCACAAGCTAGACATTTTGCTCCAACTGCTCGCAATCCTTATAATAGTTCAATCTATTTTTGAGTGAATATTATTCAGGCCAAAAGTTAATACCATCTCCATGCTATGATCTTTCCATTTATCACTAGCATGACTGTGTGGATATAGCATTGATTATCCATTGTTACATTAAACTCATTGTTGAATTCTACTTTTGTCCTTAGTAGTTTCATTCTTCACCAATACCTACTAAACATGCCAGATACTAAGAGAACTGTGCATTAAATATGTTAACTATACCTAGAAAGTCACTGAGAACAAGTGTAATGAAAACTGTATGAATTGTGAGAGAATTAAAATGAATAATCAGAGCTAAATAGGCACAAATTGATGCACAAAGTTGATATTTCAGTTTCTCTAGATAAGAGCAATGCTTGGTTTCAAATGTTGCAATCTCAGAATGTGAGTTCCTCATCATATTCAAGTTGTATAATACATACAAGAAAATATGATCTTAATTTTGGTGCATTTTCAAAATATTTTGAAGAACAAGGCAAGGCTTGGCTTGAAAAATACCTAAGTGAAGATGACTAGCTTGAATAAAGTCAATGAACTTTCTGCATAGATGAATGGATTAAAAATACATGTACAGGACTCCATGTCATACAAGCATGCATTGATTGTTTATGTTAGCATCTCCATGAGGACTCACAGAATGAAATCACAAAGAATTCTAAGTTTACCAATCAAAATTTAAATTATTTCCAAACAGTTTTAAATTTATTATGACCAAGCAACACACCAAGCAGTGTGCCCACCTACCAATAGGGTCGATCCATATGGCTAGCTCTTCTAGAGGCACAGTAGGTAAGGCGGAGCTCACCAAGACATCTCTTTTTAATTCTTTATGAACTTCCTGAGCCAATGCATCAGCTGCTTTTTCATTGCCATTCAACACCTGAAACCACCAACTACATGAACTAATTGCAATCAATAGCAGAAATGAAAAAAAAATCAAATTTTGAATACAAGTGGAAAAATCCTGGACATGCTGAAGGGAGGGATGATTTTTAATTTCCACTATGCCCATTTCAGCAAAGGAAAAAATAAAAACATGCTCATTAGTTTTTGAAAGTCAAATGCGAAAGTTTTCAATAAAATTTCAGGCATTTCTCTACATTTTTCAACTATGGATCATGTAGTTCATCAGTGTTTTCCTAAAAAAAAGACTATTACATACGAATAAAATTTTTGGAGAGTCAGCATGCCTCAAAAATTGTTGCAATTTGCTGGTTTGGTTATCATAGGGAAGCAAACCTGAGCAAGAAGGGCTGCAGTGCTGCTGGCATCTGCTTGAACAGCAACAGTGATGGTTTCACCCATAGTGTTTTTGAAACATGCTTGTTCTTCTCCATAAACTCTCCCTTTCAATGCAGGAAACTGAAAAAATTCATGAAATCACTTTCAAATTAATTTTAGGAGTTGTTGAATATTCATAATTATGCACTAGGTTATGCAAGTCTCATATATACTATTGAATTAATTTCTTCTCAGATCTTGTATGCAGTACTAAAAATGGCTTCAAATGTCACTCACTAGTAATCAAACAGATTCTCAAAGGCAACAAATGATAGCTATTCAATTGAGCAGTTAAAAAAAGTAATTTCAGTTTCCTCAAAAGTGTTATATCCATATAAAAAAAACCATATCAGCAGCATAGTTTAACTCAATCCAAATATAACAGTGATAGCAAATTATTCAATGAAGTCATTGATTTAGTCAATGACCATAAAATTTCATGATCACTGTACATAATAATCACATATTACCATAGACACAATACTGTATTGATATTATTTCATTTTGGTTCTCAAGGGAAATTTCACATACTTGTTTATTAATGACATCACAGAGAGTCTGCTGAATGAGGACATCAGCTAAGGTTTTGAAATCTTGATCAAATCTGATGTTTTTTGACTTTCCTGTTTTTTCTTCCACTAGAAGAGAGAAAAGCTCTTTATCTTCTCTAATTGTCTGAGCAATTGAGGCAGCTTTAGCTGAGAAGTCCACTAACACTTGCAGCAAACTTGATAGTGACATAATGAATAAGTAAAATCAGGAATGAATAAAGTTGAACTATTTTTTTCTGATCTAGTATGGGTATAAAAGGGGCAATAGTTTTTAGGTCTCCCATATAAAATTGAACGTTTCCTCAAATTATGAACAGATATACCTAGTATGTATGCACACTGGAGACCACATAATTTAGGTGAGATTTATCAGATGAATTTCAATTAGCAGGTCTCATCTAGGATAGATAAAAAATATTATAACTTAAAATCCTTGACACATCAGCAAAAATGTAGTCTGATGTAAAAAATGTAGCAAAAATGTAATCAACAATGAAGCCTTGTGACTAGCCATATAAGAGGTTATTAATGCATCAGAAATTAGCAATATTTAATAGCAATGCCCTGTTTTGAATTGAACAAGAAAATTTAGCATCTTGGGCCTGGAGCAATTTAGCCCCCTGGCAAAATTAAAATTAGGTTTATATTACTAAAAATATAGATTTTCATGACACACTACTGTGAGTTTCAACAGAATACAAAAAATATAACTCAGTACTCACTGCAGTGAGTGACAGAGAGCGCATTTTCTCTCCAACGAAAACATGAAGTCATGGACAGATGGACAGACAGACATGGCGAGCACAACAGTGCATTTTTTCAATAAATGAGGAAATGCCCTAAAAAAACTGATGTTGCAACTATTTTTCTGCTTTCATAGAAGTTGGTCCAGAAAGTGGACCAAAGAATTAACCATTATAGAGGCTCATGACAATCTTATATTCTTTTTCCAAAAAAAGCTTGCATACATGTTTGAAGACAGTTTCATATATAATGCTATAAATTGTGAAAAATAATGCTAATCATAAATTCTTTTGATAATTAAAAAATGATTTTAAATATAAATAGTTATTAGAATTCAATCAACCAAGCAGTTTGACAAGGAACCAAGCAGTTTGACAAGGAACCAAGCAATTTGACAGTCACCTTGTCAAAATTAACGGCACTGCAACTGAACAATAAATGAAGAAATTTGTATAGTTTTGTAGAAGAAGGAAGACTTGGTAATCCAAGATTTATTCAAACAAATGTTGAGTTACCTGAAATTAAAGTAACTGACATCAAACACTGATCATTGACACACAACAAAATAAAACAAACAGTAGAAACAATATTACAACAAAATCTAAGTTAGCTACATACATGGTGGAGAACTTACATTACATTACGGAAGGAGTCAAGACCATTCAGTTTTATCACATTAGAAAAAATCATACTCAACATCATTCAACCACTCATTCCACAAATAGCTCACCAACATGGTTTCAAGGGAAATCACTCCACAGTTACAGCCCTACACTCACTTACCCAACACATTACCCGCGGATTCAATCAGAAACAACCACCTTCACGAACCATCACAATAGCACTAGACATGTCCAAAGCATTCGACACAGTAAACCTACACAAGTTAATAGACAAACTGTCAAATATTCAAATTCCACCAACATTAACCAAATACATGTCCAATTACATAAAAGGAAGAAAAGGCTACACACTTTTCAATAACACCACTTCCAAACAGCAGAATTTCAAAACAGGCGTCCCACAAGGGGGCGTCCTTTCACCCACTCTATTCAACATATACACCTCAGACCTCCCTACTCCACCCACAGATGTACACATGATTACCTATGCAGACGACATCACCATCTTCTCATCACACCACAATTACAAAATTGCAGGGCAACGCATACAACCATTCCTACAACAGATACACGACTGGACTATCAGAAATAACCTCCAACTAAATGCATCCAAAAGCACAGCCACACTTTTCACACCTGACCCCGCTGAATACAGGAAAATACTAAACCTTACCATAGACAATACCACAATCCCCAGCTTCCAATAGACCAGCACCTCAGACTCCATGCATCCCAACTCAGACTAAAAGCACAAGCACCAACCCACCCACTTCACACTCACACTCAACCTTACAACCCACCCAGACTTATAAAACAAACAGTTTTCACAAACAGAAACTATACCACTAACATACTCATAGAACCAGACCAAGCCACAACAGAAACACTAAATAGATGCAAAAAACAAATACACACTACAATCACAACTAACTACATAGACAATCTACCAAACAATGCTGTACTCTCGGCACCAGCACCAGCCATAGACTTCAGAAACCCAATTACCCAGGCACACACGCCGACCACTAGCACAACTCCGTACAAACAAGTCCCCCCTACTACACCAATACCTACACAAGATAGATCCAGCCACACATCCGTCCCCTCTTTGTCCACTCTGTCTCAGACATGATCACAACACCTGCCACCCGTTTGGCTGCTCGGAACTGGTCACGCCCTTGTCGCCCCTGGTTTTGTGGGACTCTCCCATCGAGGCGGCGGGGCTGTTAGCGCGCTGGGGAGAGAGGTTGGGCTGGCCACAGGAATGGGTGTAGGCCCCGTCCCGCACTTGTCGCAGGACGGGGAGGGCGAATAACAACAACAACACCATTCAGTTTGACAGAAACATAGACACTGGCATGGTGTGTGAAGCCTGGGCAGCTAAAATCTGGTCTTCATCTTAATATGAGCTTAATTCCTACAGAATAAGTCTTATTACCACATTCACCCTTTACAAAATTTGTTGCTTATGAATAACGAGAAATGATTTTAATACCACTAATTCTGGTAATGTTTGAAATAGCAAATAATTTAAACAAAAATTATTCATATACTGCTTTGCTTGTTAATAACCGTAACAATCTGGGGGTCTTTGTATTCTAGTCATTTTCTGGGGACGGGAGATAAAGCAATTTCAGTTTCCCTTGCCTCTTCTTTGGTTGGCTGTTGAGACACGGTTTGAGGTTCTGCAGCGTCTTGTGGCAGCGTAACAACTCCTCGAAGTTAGCTATAGATATCCAACCACAACACAAAAAAATATAACTCAGTAGTACTCACAGCAGTGAGTGAGAGTGCATTTTCTTGTAGACAAAATACGAAAAGTCACAGACAAACAGACAGACAGACGGACGGACAGACAGACAGACAGGACAAGCACAATAGTGCATTTTTTCATAAATGAGAAAATGCGCTAAAAATGGAAAAATGCTGCATCAAAGAAAGCATATGCTAAACAACTCTTATCAAATTCATTTCTGGAAAGTGGAAACTTTCAATGCAACGCAACTGTGCAAGTAAACAAAGGAATTTTTAATATAAAAGATGGTATAACCTTGGAATACATTTTTCTGAACTTGTGACTTTCAAGTCAAGTACTTTGGTTTGATTGGGAACATTATAGATCATGAATTCTTCATAATATAAAATAAAAATCTACTGCAGTTCATTGCCATGCTCCTGCATCATAAATGGTATGACACTCACAGTTGCAGTGATGTCAGACAGCATTGATACTATGTTGTTTCTGTGACAAAAGCATAAAAAATACATTATCACACACTTTATTGCTTCTAAAAGGAGAAGAGAGGTCCTCATTGGTATTTCTGGGATAAAATTAGAGATTTGGGACAATACATGTGCACTGCTTGGTAAATGTTAGTGGCTCAACAAAAAAATGTGTTATGTGGCTCAAATGGCTTTCCACTGTCTCAAAATGATTCATAACTTAAAAAAAGAACCCATAACTCAGCATTATCATAACTCACAGTCAAAAATGGTTATATTTAAGGGGGGTCAAGCCCCCAGAAAAACTTCCACTGTTTCCACATTTACTAACTGATCTTTCTGAAACTTCACACATACCAGTATATGTAAAACCAAAAAACAAACACATTTTGTTCCTACGATGTTTTTGGAAAATTAATAAAAACCTGAAATTCATAGAAAACAGACAAAAAGGGGGTACTTTAAAAATCTATCTCCTCCTAGAGTTTTGAAGCTACAGCAATGAGACATGTACCATTCGATTCGTAAAGACCATACCATCAACCGGGGCTACTTGGAACAGGCGGGGTAACTCAAGACAGTCCTCCGACATGGCCTAAAACTGTTTTAGTAGCAAAACTAATTGGAATATTGCAAAACTAATTGGAATATTGCAAAACTAAATATAGTGGCATAAAAGTCAACATTTTTCCTATCTATGTAGTATAAAAGAAGTTCAAAAATACTACTGTCAACCGGGGCTACTCGGGATGATTTCAAACGTTTTTCATTCATAACTTCTTACCATGAAACATTTCGTAAACAAATTTAGGCTCATTTCAAAGCCCTTTGCAAGGGCTATCACATGGCTTTTCCAAAAAATTCCATATGCTATTTGTAAGGTGCCAGATGCAAAAAAAAAGTGTCCCTAGTAGCCCCATTGCATGGGGCTACTCGGGACACTTGGAATAAAACTTCACTTTAAAACATTTGCAGCATGCAGAGTGTACTCATCTATTACTAACAGTACTCTGAAGTCCTCCTCTTTCATTATAGATGATGTAGAGGTAGAATAAATGACATTTTCTGTGATTTTTACTTGTTTTTCCTTTATTGATATGATATTGCCATATACATTAATTACCGTATTATTGATACAATATTACCGTATTATTGATGCGATATTACTGTATCCATGACCATGCCATTGAGCATTTACAACAACTTTGTCCACTGCAAGCTTCATATCAGCAGCCCTATAGCTTTTTTTCTGTTTCTGTAAGCTTACAGGATGGCTTGTAATTTCACACCATTCTAATTGGGTTAAGTGAATTTACTATAAAAAAAATCATGAAAAACATACTTGAAACAGAAAGGGATGTTTTAGTGACAACCATAATATGTTTTGGAGAAATAAATCATAGTTTAGGTCAATTACTTTTCATTCTATGATGCCTGGTGCACAATTCTATATATGACATTCTATGCACAATTTTGTGATGACCAATGATGCACTAATTTTTCTACAAGTGAATTTTTTTTGGCTGAGCAAGGTAAATGTAATCAATATTCTTTGTTTTTAATCATTTTTTTCATAACTGGAGGCTGAGCCTTTGCTAACTGAGGCAGAGGTTCTACTGTAAATGCGTTTTTGGGGGTGTCCTGAATAGCC